TAAACTATATATGGCATGCATTTTCTAAAAATACTTTTCTAAAATACAGTATGCATGCATATCTGTACCACAAGCACTGGGAAGAAATGAATCAAATTAATACTTGTGATTATTTTTGGGCGGTGGTATTATAGATGATTTTCATTTTTCTCCTTTGTATATTTTCCAAATTTTCTGCAAGGAGATTCCATTAATTTCATAATTTAGGAAAAATAAAAGTAAGTCTTAGTTAAATTTTTGTTCAGACTAGATGATTCTCTGAAATTACTGTCTGTTCCTGACTGGTTTCAGGACACCAGTGACTCAGCCCCTTTTGGTTAGGACACACATATGCCCAAGAGAGGTCCTGAGACCCGAGCTCCATGACCCAGACTTGTTTCGCTGCTTCATGGCTGGGTCTTTTTGGGCAAAACAGGTCTGAGGCTTTGTATTTGCAAAATGTGGCAATTTATGTCTGCCTCACAGATGAAGTTTAAAGACAGCGTAAGAAAAATGCTTTGAAAAGTACTATATAAATGCAAGTTATGTCTCACCTGAGACATAGATAAGACGGAGTACACACTCAAATCCCAAATGACCAACTCTTGGTTTTATGACACCACTAGAATGACAGAACCTCTTTGAACTTTAGCCTCCTAATTTGTCAGGTAGAGGTATTACTGCCTTCTTTAGAAGGTCAACGTGAACTACTCAGTCAATGTTAGCTTTCTTCCTTTCTTAGGCCCTGTCTTTCTCCACTCCACCCTTTACTCTGAAACAAGAATTTAAAAAAAAATGCTCCAGCATCAGCACTTCTGTTCTAATTTTAAAGCATATTATTTACTTTGATTTTTTGATATGTTAAAAATGCATGCACTCTTTTTCCTTTCTCCACCCTTTTATGGTTTGGACCAATAGCAAACACAAAGTAAGCAGAACTTACGAAAATCAATGTGAGGACTGTGGACAAATTTTATGGGGTCATTTGAGCTTGAAGTCTTCCACAGAAAGCTCTGAAACCGTAAGCAGTTTCCATTAGGGCAGGCAGAGTAGGAAGGGTGAGAACGTCCTTGCTTTGGTAGGCTGAAGTTATTTCAGCAATTAGATCTTAGATTCTGGATTTATCTAAATATACCTGTGACATTCTGTAAATGTGCAGAACTCAGAAATTCTCAGGCTTGGCTTCTCTAGTGTCAATTGACAACCACATGTCTTGAAGTTTTGTTTCCTTTAATTAACCTTCTCCATTTTCAAATCAATTTTCTCACTTCCTCCTGGTGTTACTGCTATTCTAAGGAATGCAGACCTAAGGGATCAACATTTCAAGACTCCAAAGGTTTGTATGCCAAGCCTGGAACTTGGTACACAAATAGATACCCAAGCATACTCACTGTTCCTTCTGTACACCCAAACTTAAAGATTCAAGGGCTAAGATTAAAGCATCAGAGGACTGAGTCCTAACTTAGTATTTGAAGTCTGGTCCACCTTGTTTAAGAATCTTTGCTTAGGGGAAAGCTGAAGATTTTTGAGAAAGAGAACCCACTGAAGGCCCTCTCTGTTTAGGGAAGGTGCTGGTGGAGTGATGGAAGGGGATGATCTACAGGGACCATGATTGTGAAGACAGATTAAAAACGAAGAGGCAGATGATAGACATATTGTAGCAGAATCCGCTAGTGCCCAGTCCATTTTTCCATGGTCTTAGTAGTGTGTTCTGGTTGATTTCTAATGGCCAGCGTCTACCCACCTTTAGTTGAGTGCTAAGGAATTCACATGACCATGCACTCAGCCAATGACTGGTAGGAGCTGACACATAAACATTCCAGCTCCCTTGCCCTTTGGGTGGAAGAACTCTGAGCTGTGTTGTATTAGTTTCCTATAGCTGCTGTAGAAAATTACTAAAAACTAAAGAGACCTAAAGAAACATGAATTTATTATTTAACAGTTCTGGGGGGGCATAAGTTTGAAACAGATCTTACTGGGCTAAAATAAAGATGCAAGTCTGAAGATAGTACAGCACTGCTTTAAAGGACGCGACCAAGCTTCTGGTACAAGCAGGCCAAGCTGTGGCCCCTTATTCTTTGAAGGAGCTTTCTTGAATTCCTCTTTTCTTTATAATCAGAACCAAGACAGGAGAATGTGGTGGTGAAAATTCCTCTGCACTATCCTGAAATCAATCATATCCTGCGTCATCTTAATCCCACTTAAATTTAATTTAATCCTGCTATTTATTTTAATCCATCTAATTTAATCCCACTTTGGCACAATCTGAATCTAGAACACTTGAGTCAAATCATCTAATACTCCAAGACTAGCAGAAGTCTACCCTGGATGGAAAACAGTAACAAAATTACAAGGTACATAAAGTCAGAATCTCTTGTTTTTCATTCTGGTTATAAATAACCACATGATCTTAGACTAATCACTTAATCTCTCTCTGACCGATTTAATTTCTTCATGTAAGGACAGAATTAATAAAACTTACTCCTTTTTTTGAGAGATTTCAGAGTTAAATGGAAAACTGTGTGAACTTGCTTTGAGTTCTAATACAATAGAGCTAATCATGATGATTCAAAGGACACTACACCTTTTGTTTTTCTCATGAATGCAGGTTTTAGTCAAATGCCAGCAAAATATCCTCTGTACACTTGGTGCTCCTAAAAGATTTATTGTTTTTGATAATGAAGAGTAATGTCTATGCAAAGTAATCTATTCACCACTTTCTCCCAGTTGGAACTATGTTGACTCAACTTAGTTATGCTGATAAAGCCCCTCACTACATTTCTATCAACCTTCATCAGAAGCAAACAATCTTCTGGATATACTTTGGATAGTTCTGCAAAATTTAACAATGATGACTTGTCACATAACAGAACACTTGACTTTTTGCTCTATTTTAACATATATTTGAGTATTTTTATTGAGAATCTATTAAATCTGGAGCTCCCAGAACTGATCTTCCAGTAGTTTACATAATAGCTACAATAACATCCGAAGTCTGCATTTTACATTACAGTTGGAGGTGGCTTCCTATAGATAGATGTTGTCCAAACTTCAGTCATTTTTATAACATCAGCATATTTTGCCATATTTTCTTAATTTATGTGTTACTATTTAACAAGTGTTTTGCCTTGAATTGACTTATCTTTTAAAATTTAAATACGTTTATTTAAAAAGTGAACTTCATATCACTACCAATCCTAGAAAACCAATATTGCTTGTGATAAATCGAAAATAAATAAATTCATTCATTTAGCCATTCCATGAAGTATACGTATAGTAAAATCTCATGTTGTGCACATATATATACATTTATATTTGCCAATTAAGAAAGTAAAATAATTTTTAAAAGAAAATAAATAAATGTAATACGATGAAAACAAAACAATGTTGCTCGGTTCCTGCCAGAAACTGTTGTTGGGTTAAGTTCCTGAGCTTGAGATACATTCTTTTGTGTTTGTGTGTGTAAATATGTGTATATGAGAAAGAGAGAGAGAGAGAGAGAGAGAGAGAGAGAGAGAGAGAGAGAGAGAGAGAGGACTATCTATATCAAATTTAGAGACAAGCTCTACATTGAGACTTTCACTGAATTATTTAGATTTTTGGAAATGATATGATGGATTATAATCTTAATTTTCACAACAACCTTGTTATGTGATTCATTAAGTAAGCAGTGCAGATATTGCTTCCATTTTACAGATGATAAAGCTAGGCCTCAGAGAGGTTACATGACTTCTTCCTTGAATCCTCAGTTAATCCTCAGAGCTGGGCCTCAAACACGAGCCCTTTCATTCCAAATCCTGTGCTTTCTCTGTTGTACTCAGACCTTCTTGGAGTGAGAGGGGTTGCAGAGGGCTTAGATAAAGCACAGTGAAGATCCCTTCCCTCTGTCACTTATAATCCAGTCAAGGAGATGAGAGGGACCAAAATCATATATTTAAGTCGTATCAAGAGAAAGTAGAAAAGTGTGTTTTGAAGTAACTGGCCCAAAGAATGATGATGAAAATATTTAGCAAGTAAGCCCACTGTAAGTTGGACAATTAGGGAAGACTTCCAGGAAGAAACAATATTAAAACTCTTGTGCTGAAGGGTGGATAAAATTAGATGAATTGAAGTTAGAGGTGAAGCCATTTCAATTGATAACAGCACTTCGATCAGAATAATAAAACATATCAAAGCTCTGTCTTGGTTTACTGCAGATAGGGGAAAATGCAGATATATGACAGGAAGTACTATGGATACATTTTATAGGCTTATGTGCTATGAAGTAGAATGAATCACTATCTTGTAATCCTTAAAAATAAATTATTGCCCTCAAAATATGTATGATTCAGCAAACCATCTACAGGGCTTTTTCTCCTAAGGAAATATTGATAGATATATGCTAATATTTTTAAGAATGTGTTTCATCCTAGCAAAGAAATTGGAAATAACTCCAATGTTTGACCATATGGGGCTTAGTTACTTAAAATTAACTACAAAAACATTGGGGACCCTGTGCCATCTTCAAAACAGGCTTCAACCTTTGCTTCTAAAATGTGGTATGTGAACCAATATTGTCACCTTTACTTGGAACTTGTTAAGATGCATTTTATGATGCAGTAGGTCTGGGGGAGGGCCTGAGAGTCTGCATTTCCACCAAGTTCCCCAGTGATTCGCACATGTATTAAGGTTTGAAAAGCAGAGGCACATGATTAATGACATGGAAAGATATTTGCAATAAAATGAAATGGGCTGATTTACAAGAATTAGTTCCACATGATACTATATTGGTAAATTTTAAAAAATATGCATACATTCACACATGAGAAAGAGAGGGAAATAGAGAAATAGAGAGAGTATGTGTGTGTATGTGCAAGACAGACAGATGGGCAGAATATATATTAAAATACCAACAGTGGTAGAATTACAGGAAATTGTTTAAAGTTTTTTTACTGTGTTTGTATATCTGCATCTACTATGAACATACCTCTTTAAAAATATAAATAATAAAACTCTATTTTTGATTTCTTTTCTGTTTTCAGAGTTTTACTGTGTTATTTCTATAAAAGTAAGCAGAAACCAACAGGCTGAACTGGAAGAAAACAACCCATGGGGATTTAATCAATGTAATAAGAAACTGTCAGAAGAGAGAAAGACCTGTAAGATAAGAATTTTCCACTAAGTATGAACTAAGTCTCTGTAACCTTCATGTTCCTAGAGCTCTTGGAATTTATTTTAAAAACCAAACTTTTTTTTTTTTTTAAGTAAGGCTATAAAGCTCCAGGAGCATAGACATTTTTAAGACTGCCAACTGGGAAAGTACTTTCAGGATGAAACAGATCGGTTTCCCTTAACAAGTATTTTTAGTGGTTTTACTCTGAGTTCTGGTTGGGAATATTCCAGCAATGTCACTTAGAAGTTGAAAGAGGACCCAGCTGCTTTGTCAGAATGATTCTTCGCCTGCCTTTTCCCTTCGAAAATTTACCTTAGACTTTATTCATTTCTGTGAATTGTCCCCATTTGGGTGATCCCTTTGTTCTCAGCATATGATGGTAAGAAAAAGATTCAGATTCCAGCTTCACTGTTTTTTAGCTGCTGGGATGTTTAGGCAATGGAAGTAAGTTGAGATGATTAAAAGAGATAATGCACATAAAGCCTTTATTGTATAGGAAATACTTAAAAAGTTGACTGAATGCAGGAACTGGCGTTGTGCCATGACTATGGGGACTCTTCAGGGAAAGATCAACTGGCCCCAAACGGAACTGAAGCAGCAGCTGTTCAAGCATCTGTGGATGTTGAACTGGGAGTGGCATCTGGGGCATCGGGTGGTCGGGGCTGTGACAGACCAAGGGCTGATCATGCAGCACCACCTCAAGAAGCGGGCATCCAGTGCACGTGCCAACATTACTCTGTTGAGGAAGAAGCTCAGAAAACTTCTCCAGCAGATCCAGTTTGCCCAGAAAGAGAAGGCAGCCACAGAAGCGGAAACCCCCTCAAAGCCAGCCAGGACTAGTGAACCACAACTCAAAGGTCAAAAGAAGACAAAAGCCCCCTAGGATGTAGAAATGAAGGCCCTTGAAGATGAGAGCTAAACCTCTTCCTCTAGAAGATTCTCAATGGGATCCAGAAGGACTCAGTGGCTGTTTCAGAGGACTTTGGCAAAAGCAGTGCCCCCTTTCACTCACCAGATTTCCTCCCTCATCCTCCTCTGGAAAAATGTCTTTGGGAGGGAAGAAGGTACAGAATAAAGACTGGAGAAGGGCCTCTCTAGCAGTCAATTTCGTTTGTAATAAAGCCCTAGCACTCTGAAAAAAAAAGTTCACTGATTAATAAATTCATAATTCAACAACTGTGTACCATGAGACCATCATCTGTCCCTAAGGGCAGTGGATGCAAATGATCCCAGACATGTCTCCTTACCTCAGGATGCTTTCAGGTAAGGGGATACAACCAAGGAGAACACAATTACCCACAGTGTCACAAGTGCTGTGACAAGGAGAAGGCCAGCTATCACAGGGGCAAATAAGAGGAGTACCAACCCCACCAGGGGGATAGTGATGGTAAAGAAGTCTTCCTTGTTGAAGTCATGTCTACATTGAGATCCGATGGACCAGCAGGTCTTGGCCAGGAATAGCTGAGAGGCTCCAGACAGTGGAAATAACACATTTACAGGCTCAAATGTAAGGAAGAGCACAAATGTTCAGGTGTTCAACAAACTAAAAGTGCTAAGATATGAGTCTTAGCATATACTAAGGGGTAGAGGGTGAGGGTAGTAGAAAGAAGGAAAGTGATATGAGGGGTCTGTAGAGCCTGGCCATGAATGGGCCTTTTTGGCCATGTGGAAGAAGTTTTACTTCACCCAAAGGGCTGCGGGAAAGTTCAGGGTCAAATATGGTCACATTGGGGCTTTAAGCAGGTTGCTCTGGCCACAGGTGGAGAAAGGACAGAGACAAGCCAGGAGGACTGCAAATCAGCTAGGAGGCTGTTGCAGGAACACAGGGAGAGGTGATTCTATCCTCAAGCCAGTGGAAATGGATAACTATACATGAAATGAGATTGGTGGTTAACTGGGGGTTGGGAGATGATGGAACAGGCCCAGAGAATATACTTAACAAATACCTATTTTCTTCTCCACAGAGATCTGTTGGCCACTTCAGGCCAAGGGAAGATTAACCCAGTAGTGGCAGAAAAATATTATATAGAAGCAAAATAACTGTCTGCTTAGCAGTTCTTGAAGTAAGGTCTGGGAATTCTTGAGGGTCACTGTATTTCTATTTAAGGAGTCTATGAGGTCAAAACTTATTTTCCTAACAGTTCTGAGATACCGTTTGCCTTTTTCACTTTTATGCTTTCACAAACATGCAGTGGATTCTTCTAGAGGATACATGGCGTGTGATAATGAAGTTGCTCTGGTGGCTGAAGTTATGTGTGCTTGGATTTTCTTGAGCTTTAAATTTGTCACAGTTTTAATTTCAAATACAGTAAATACAGAAAGATATGCCCCCATAACAAAAGCTCTTTGGGGTCCTCCATAATGCTTAAGAGTGTAAAAGAAACCTGAAGCCACAAAATTTGACAACCAATACCATAAACATTTAAAACACATTTTAAAAGCATCCACTATCAAGAGCTTAAAAAAAAATATGAGTGAGAACAAACTCTACTGATTAAAGAGTCTTAATTCCTTTTTTTTTTTTGAGACAGAGTCTCACTCTCTTGCCCAGGCTGGAGGCAGTGGCCCGATCTTGGCTCACTGCAACCTCTGCCTCCCGGGTTCAAGCAATTCTCCTGCCTCAGCGTCCTGAGTAGCTGGTACTACAGGCTCACACCACCACACCCAGCTAATTTTTGTGTTTTTAGTAGAGACAGCATTTCACCATATTGGTCAGGCTGGTCTTGAACTCCTGACCTCGTGATGCAACTGCCTCAACCTCCCAAAGTGCTGGGATTACAGGTATGAGCCACCGCGCCCAGCCTGAGGAGCGTAATTCTCATCTTAGCATTGTTGTCCTTTCAAATCTGAGCCATTGCCAGCTTAATATAAGGATAATGCCTGGGATTTCATTTCTAGGAGAACATATCCAACAAACAAAATCAAAGCACATACCATAAAATGTACTAAGTAAAAATATGAAATCTGTATCTGCAATTGTGAATATACTTTGTTCTTTAAACTTATTTTTAAAGTTAGAAAACAGAGTCACTGAGTAATACTCGTATCTTAGAACAAAATCTCTGTTGTGTGGGCAGAAAAGCAAAATAGAAGTGACAGTGTAGGCAAGTGGAAAATAACACAGTGAGGAGAAATGATGCAAACCAGACTCAGAACCAGAGCTCTAAAGGCAAGTTGCCAACCCAGAAGGACTTCAGGATCCCCTACGAACCATCATTAAAAAAAACAAGGGCAGTGGGCTAGCCAATCAAGCATAAACCTGGTAGTCATCCACATGCCATCTGAAAAGGCCTGGAGCCAGTGGAGGACACTTGTCTGTGACCCTGAACAATACCAAAGTGGCTGCCCTTCCAAGAGGTCAGTGGGTATCTCAGCACAAAAGGTGTAGGAAGGGTCAGGATAAGAGCAATATAGAAAATGGCCCCAGAGAAGGAGGGCAGTCAGAGTTCCACGCTTAGCATAAGGATTCCATATGACTGTTAGGAATGAAATGTGGCTAGTACATTGGAGGAACTGAATGTTTATTTCATTTTCACTAATATACATTCAAAGAGCCATGAGACTAGTAATGACCACACTCAAAAACTCTATTCCAGAACTTTAGTGAAATGATCTTCCCAACCTGTGGAGAGCCAACTCTAAGATGCATCACGGTGCAAGATGGGCTTGAATGTACTCTTCAGACAAATGCATATGTGAAATCCTTATCTCCCACCAAAACCCAGTCAACTTCCTAGGACATCTGCCAACAAAGCCGGCTAGTTCTCCTTGGGGAGTTTGGAATAGGAGCTTAATAAAGAGGGAAGCAAGAGCAGACAAATGAGAGGCAGGAGTCTTGCCTGTTACCTCATATGACGTGGCCCTGAGCTATCTTCCAAATTCTTTTCCTGAAACGTAGCTGCTTGTCACTGGGCTTCAGTAACATACACCCCCTAGTTCTTCCTTGAATATATCAAGCAAGTTGCCATCTCATGGCCTATTGTGTTTATTTACTTTCTTCTTATCCCGGAATGCTCTTTCTCTGGATCAGGGTTTCTTAACTTCAGTGCTAGTGACATTTTAAGCTGGATAATTCTTTGCTACAGGGACCTGCCCTCTGCAGCATTGGGTGTTTAGCAGCATCCTTGTTCTCTATCCACCAGATGCCAGTACCGTCCCTTCCCCCAGTTGTGACAATTAAAAACTTCTCCAGACACCAAATGTCCCTGGAGAGACAAAGTCACCCTGGTTAAAGAATCACTGCCCTAGATATCTGCATGATTCACTTTCCCACTTAATTTAGTTCTATATTCACATGTCACCTCCAGGGAATCCTTTGCAAAACCTTGTACCTCTCTGTCCCCTTTCCCTGTTTTATTTTTCTTCCCAGTATTTATCACTAGCTAACATTATATTAGATACTCCTTTGTGTCTTGTGATTTTGCCTCCTTTGTTTACTGCTGTAATCCTAGCATCTAGTATCTAGTTGATTGGTAGATACTTTATAAATATTTATTGAATGAAGGAACAAAGGAAGGAAGGAAGGAAGGAAGGAAGTACCTGCACCATTTGTAAAGTCAAAAGTGAGGCAGGAAGTTTTCATTCTGGGGGAATAGAGGCATGCTGCCAACAGAAAAGCTTCAACTCAATTTAGCTATGAAAATCTGTTATTGGTTATTATAACAATGACAAGTCTTTAGGAAATTTCTAATAATAGGCACACTTTTACTCACCTTATCTAAAATTATGCTTTGAATGCAAAAATGAATTATAATTTTAAATGTATTTGTCAACCACTTTTATGAATAGTATCAATTTTGAGACCTAAAATTGCAGTCATTTCATATCAAGAATCTACGTTTTTACCTGATTTTAACATTGATGTCTACTTGCCACTGAGCAAAAAACACTCTGATAATGAGAAAAAGGCCTGATGAAAGGCCTGCATTTTCCTTCATAGTTATAAATGGAAAACGTGTTTCCAAGAGGTTTTTATTAGCATTACTGTGTGTAAGCCTATCAATTCAGTAACTCCAGCCCTAGGAAATTTAATCATGTGCTGAAGTCCTTTCTTACTTGTAAGAATAAGGCTTTTCTCCCTCGATGATTTGTTATATTCTTTCTGAATTCTTTAAGAATACTAGACTAATTTACAAAATGCTGAATTTCTTCTGGAAATAACTGTAAATATTCAAAAGAAACTATAAGCACCAAGTAAATTGCACATTTTGGAGAATAAGGTAAGAATATACCCTAATTGCTGGTAGATGGTCAGAATATTCTCCTACAACCTGGATCCAGCCAAGTATTAAATGAAGTTCCATAATACCTCAGATCCTAAAAATTTCAATGGACTAAGAACTTCTTAATATATTAACTAGAATTTTTAAAAGTTAAGTAATTCTACTTTCATATTTTCTAGGTTTTTAACTGATGAAAGTCTTTCTACAACAACAAACATTGGTATCCTTTTTAATATTAGGAAATCTGGAGAGAGAGAGAGAGAGAGAGAGAGAGTGTGTGTGTGTGTGTGTGTGTGTGTGTAACCTATGGCTGCCCTTTTGTGAAGCTATGCATATGTGCAAGCAAGGGTGGGTAAAAGTCTCAGAATTATGACCCCAAGGGTGACCGTACAACTTGATTCCTCTTCCAGAGGGAATGCAGTACACACAGAACCATAAAGGCAGTGTCCCAAGCCTGTCTTGTACAAAACTGACTGCTGAATCAAAGACCAAGAGCAGCCCTCCCCTTTCAGGGTTATCTTAATTCTAAAATTAATCAATCAACCAATCAATCACCATCTTTGCTTCTGTTTTCAGAGTCTCATCAACTTTTCAGTACTCCTGTAAACCTTGACTCCTGACTGATTTCTACAGTCAGCCATTTTGACAACTCACATCACGTACCTTTTCCCTTTCACTATTTGAATGTAGGAGGAGCATTCCTTATGAGTTGAGAATTAAAAAAAATTTTTTGCATCTATTTAAGGTATACAACATGATGTTATGAAATACATATACAGAGTAAAATGGTCATTATAGTTAGATGAATTAAAATATCTATCATGTCACGGAGTTATCCATTTTATCCCCTATGGCATGAGTAGCTATAATCTACTCATTTAGCAACTATCCTGAATACAATATGCTATTAACTATAGTCTTCCTGTTGTACATTAGACCTTGAGACATGTTTGTCCTACATATCTGCTACTTTGTACAGAGATAGACAGAGAATCAACAGTGGTTCTTACGGGTGGGGAGGGGAAAAAGGAAATGGGAAGATGTAAGTCAAATGATACAAAGTAGTCCAAGAATTTATGTGAGAAGAGGTGGGAAAAAGTCTACTTCTAAGCTGCCTCAACCTTTCCCCCTAACTCCTTCCTTACCACCACCACCACCAAACACTGTAATAATGATCATCATCCGGGAATTAACACTTCTAGACACCAGATGCCAGACTACATTGTTTTTGAAGTATTTCCCAATGTCAGGCTTTGAAAAGAATTACAGATACCTACAAAATACATTTTCATGAATAAGTATGAATGTTTTATACAGTATTTGCAAGGAATATCAAAGGTCCTTTTGTATTTCCTTTTATAATATTTTGCTTTCTGAAAAATATCTCAGTTGATACACTGACAGGCAGAACGATGATCAAAGATATTAACCCTGCCCTTCAAGATTAGAGGCATAATTGCCTAACTGGAGAGAAGAAGAGTATCCTCAAGTAGGACTCAGGTTTGAAATAATCTTTCCCTGAAGGAAAAAAAAACAGAGCCCCTTGGGAAGTATTCCACATCTATCTCTGTCTTTGCTTGTTCTTTGGAATCAACAGTATAACTCCTCAGATACCTCTGTGCTACGGATATTTTCTGAAAGTTGAAAGTTTTAGTTTTCTTAAAGGCCAGTCCCTGTAGGAACAGTCAACCTGTCCTCATTGCATTTGAACCCAAGCACAGTCCACAGGGAAGCCGGCAAATGTGACCAAGGCACACTATTACACACTCCTCAGAGGGGTGGAGAGTGCTTATAAATGCATTCTCCTGAAGAAATAAGCAACTGGCAGTTTTTTATATAGCTGCATTATATGCTGATTATGTACAAAGGCTAAAACCAGGCGAAGTGTCTAGCAGAAAATATCATGCATTATTCAACTAAAACGAATCTATTTTTCTAATTTGCTCTTCAAAACATGTCTTTTCAAGTTGTTTTGAGTTGCAGTTGTTTCGAGGGAGGGAGAGAAAAGTATTCTCTCTTTTCAGGGACAAAAACTCAAATAAAAGAGGTAACCTCATTCAGCTAAGCATGGCAGCTTTAACAATATATAGGTAAAATGTACAACAAACTTACAAAATTAGAGGCTTTATGAAGAGCATCTCTTTATAATCAAGTTATTTTAGAAGAGAGAAAGATAAATAATCTACTTATCAGGCTCGGTTTTCCAGGCTTTCCCATTTCAAGGCATTTTATGTTTTCTTTCTTTCGTCTTCTATTTCTTCCTTTTGCCCCTCCTAATCCATATTGCAAGATACCATGTACAACACGCTTACCTCTATTTAACAGCACATGTTCGCAGTATTGTGCAGCCAAAAGTTCTACTTTGGCAGCAATTGTTTATTGATGAATGCATTTTATCCTGATTATATGACAATGATGGCAGCTTACTCATTATTTCATTCAGCATAGTTATTGTGTGCTTACTATGAGCCAAGAAACTTTTGGGTCCCAGTGATAGATAGAACAAGGTTCCTGGCTTCATGGCACTTATAGTCACTGGTGAACTACATGTATGAAGGCCTTCAGTAAACCTTGTAGGTAGTGATGCTCTTCTGTGATCCCAGGGGTGATTTGATTTATCCTCACATCACCAATACAGTGGTATTCTTTTGGGGCTGATGACTGATATTTGCCTTTAGGGCAATCATATCTTGAGAGACCAGTGAGATCTAGAACAGGATTGTGATAAGCCCCTTTGCCTACCTCCCCTATCTGACCCTTTCTTACAGACTCTTGGTGTTTACAGTTTATAGCCACTATCATCACTCCCATCCCCTCAGTCTCTTTTCCTTTTCTATTCTTCTGTTGTTTGCCATGTTTTCTGCTTTCCTGTCTTTTGTCTTGGTCATGTCTGAATGCTTTCAGTCTGGTCAGTCAATGACACTACCATAATCTCTGAGTTTCCAGGTCTTCTTACTTACTGTTGTTATTTTTGTATGCTCAAAGGCTGGGAAAAATATTCTTTACAATACACATTCACTGGTTCCCCCAGTGTTCCTTTCTCCCGCATCAAACATAGTTCGGTGCTATTCTAGATGCTTGAAGTTGTTTGTGATCTGATATCTGAGTTCTGGATAATGAACTACTGCAGCTCACTTTGCCAGAGACAGTGAGAGTTCTTCCCAAAATGTAAGGTGCACTGACAATATTTGACTAGCACCCTGGAAGACAGGCCAAAGGGCTCCAAGTTTTGCAGTGTATTTCTATGTAAACTTGAACATATTGTGCTGGTTCACTGATTTTCAAGTTTTCAGAAAAGGAAATGGGAATGTTAGACCACAAAGAGAGATACACTAAGATTCCACAGGAAAAAGATACCTCACACGTAGCCCAGCACACGCTGGTTTATTTTGAAATGATGGTGGAATGAAATGGTTAGGTAAGCTTAGTCCTTTGATTAACCAAGAATTACCATATGCACTATAGATGAATTTCTAATTTTTAAATAATCAGGATAAAATGCATGTATCCATAAAAGTTGCTGCCAAAGTATTTGCCTCAGAGGTCATTAAGAACATAACCACCAAAAAATCCTATTGATTTATCTTTTAAAAATCATTATAGAAAAATGGAAGTCTAGTTACATCCTAATGTTAAACTTTTCAAGAATAAAGTTACATAGTAGCCTATTTATCTGTTCTGGGCCTAATTTATTGATTTTTTCAGCTGACTTTTAAATTATTTTCTTAATTCTTCTGTACACCTTCTCCTCTTTTTTCTGTGACTAAAATCATATAAAGCCTCTTGCAGTGATTATACTGGAGTATGTTTTTCCATTAAAAGATCATCAAATAATTAGTTCTTCAGTGACCCCACTAAATGAAAATTCCACAAAAAACTTTATTACAAGAAGAAAATGCATATGTGTGTTAAGATCTAAGCAGATTGGGATGTCTAAAGACAAAAATAATGGCCAGATGATTTAACAATTATTATTATTTTTTGAGATGGAGTCTTGCTCCGTTGCCCAGGCTGGAGTGCAGTGGTGCAATCTCGGCTCACTGCAACCTGTGCCTCCTGGGTTCAAGCAATTCTCCTGCCTCAGCCTTCTGAGTAGCTGAGATTACAGGTATGTGCCACCATGCCTGGCTAATTTTTGTATTTTTAGTAGAGATGAAGTTTCACCATGTTGGCCAGGCTGGTCTCGAACTCCTGACCTCATGATCCACCCGCCTCAACCTCCCAAAGTGCTGGGATTGCAACCGTGAGCCACTGCATTTGACCAATTTAACAATTTTTTTAAGGCAGGGTCTGGCTCTGTCACCCTGGCCGGAGTGCAGTGGTGCAATCTTGGCTCACTGCAACTTCCGCCTCCCAGGCTCTAACCATTCTCCAACCTTAGACTCCTGAGTAGCTGGGATTACAGGTGTGTGCCACCATGTCTAGCTTATTGTTTTGTAATTTTTTGAGAGACAGGGTTTCACCATGTTGCCCAGGCTAGTCTCGAAATCCTGAGCTCTAGCAATTGGCTCACCTTAGCCTCACAATTGTGGAGATTACAGGCGTGAGCCACTGCATCCAGCCAATTGAACACTCTTATAGCATCACCATGTTACTTGGACTGGCACCTGTGGTTCTTAGTGGCAGCCAGGCTTATGGTCACTGCATCAGGGACACTGAATGACTAGACCTTGACATGAATCTCATACATGTTCAAATGCTTACATCAAGCTTCCATTGTGGGAAGGCTTTCTTTCAGTTCATTAAAAGATGACCCATTTTCAGTGCTCTTCAACTTCTGGAAATTTAAAGTGTGGTGTCAACTTATTTCCCTCATGACTCTCTCTGAATTTATGCTGGTTTCTTGCCTTTTGAAATTTTAGAGCTGGTCTGTGAAAGTGGGACACATTTCCCCTGACACATTTCAAACTATTTGAGAAAGAAGAATTCATGTGCAATAGCTGTCACACTGAATATTAGAAGAAAGCAATCAAGTCCTTTGTAAAATGAGTCTCACTCACCTCTCTTCCACCTCTACTTCATATAATAACACAAATTCCAGGGTTCCTGAGGAATCTTCCTTCAGGGCATAAACTGCTAAGACTTTATTGCTTGAAGAAGTTTTCTGGGGCATAGCTTGCTAGCCTGGTGCTCGTAGTCACAAGACATTCTTTTCTGTGGTTACTAGCATTGAGCTTTGGGTAGGAGCATCTCACTATTACTCTGGGGACTTATTACAACACTCTTGTCACCAAATTAGTAGATGAGGAAGTGTGGCTAACATGTTAAAAAACTTGTAGATGATTTGCTACCTAGTTCTAATTTCTTTAGCACTATTTTTCTGGTTCTTGTCTGACCTAGACTATTCCACATCATTTTTTGCTTTTTCTGACTTCTTTACAATACTCTCAGGTGAGAAGAGTTCTGCCTTTAACTACATTGCTTCCTAGACCTTTATTGTGTAGAGTGAGAGCTGAGGCTGAGAAATAAGAGGAACTGGACTGCTTGAGAGTTTGCATTTAAACCCCCTGTTAATGATAGAGGAGAAAGGGCCGAGAAGATTGAGATGCAGAGCAGAGAAAGAAGGAACCAGCCTGGGCTGCACTTCGGAGTTTATGGAAACTTTCATTTTTTAATTAAGGTCAAATCTTGAGTACTTACAAGAATACCAGCAAGTTCATGGATTAAATAAAATGGATTTCAAACCTATACACTTCATATAACTATCTTGATGGCTGAAAAGGTTTTTATCTCATGTTTTTATTTTCCTTTTGAATCATGTTCTCTCTGGGTTTCCATTAGTTGCACATAATAGAATTGATCACACCTAGAAACTGTGTTCATCAATGCACACATGAAATATATACATACATTGTTATGAGATTTCAAGCAAGCCACATTAGCGTTCATGGTCTCAGTCTTCAAATGAGGTAGGTAACTCTGAAGTCTTTCCAAATCCCACTGGAACTCTATGATATGATTCACATAATGAAATTTCTTCAGAGGTTGGGAAGGTAACCTAAATGGATGAACTAGGCTGGAGATAAACTGGAAATGCTATGTAGCCAGTACTATTAGGTTGGTGTACAAGTAACTGCAGTTTTTGCCATTAAAAGTAAGTACAAACCTAATATTATCAAGAAACATTGGCAACCCTTTCTTTGCTATATTGTATTTTTTCTATTAAAAATTTAAATTTGTAATGTATTTATATTTAAATTTTCAATTTGTATCTCCTCTATCTAAGATAAAAGTTGAAAATATTGTATCTTAAGAAATCCTGGGTGTGCCCCACAAAACCCAACCACACTGATCTGGGGCTCTGGGGATATCAGTTTGACTTAGAATCTACAATTGTTTATCAGATACTGTGAAAGAGCTGCAGAAGATGGCACACAAACTGTTCAACGCTGGTGTGAAGATGAAAGTGCTGACTTGAGACACCATGGTCTGAAAACTCAAGGTGGAATTTCACAGTGAACACATGGATTATGAGCCCAGAATGAATTCTTAACTGGTCCCTGAGTGTCGTTAAACTGCGGAACTGCTAGAAGAAAGCTGTAGCTGTCCATGGTGCTTAAGAATTTTCCCTAATGCTGGAGTCTCAAAGTCTGTGATATGGAAATACTTTACATTGAACATATTGTGCATTAACAATGACAATGACAACAAACCCAGTCCCCCCACAACAAATCACTTTGATATGGCTCAAGAGGATTTAATGTATTTGTGACTCAACTCAATAACAAACACTTAAATAGAAACTCATATTCTTGATTTTCTTTCTGTAGTTCTATAACAATTTGCGTGTATGTAGAATAATGTGTGTGTGTGTGATTTATCTCTTAAAGCTTCTACTAGCATCACATATTTCCCCGATGTTAATATTTTCATGATTTGATTGTCTACACTCCCAAAGTACAGTGCTTGACACAAGTGACTGTTTAGGTACCAGCAATTTTGCTCTGGGCTCTGGAGTGTGTAATAGGAATATCAGTTTATGATTCTTCTTCCTATAAGTTTAACTCCATAGTAACAATTACCTTTTATAAATTTAAGAAAAATCACTGTTGTTCCAAAGTGATGGGATTAAAAATTCCTCAGAAGAAACTAAGAAGAAAGAAGTTGAAAAACAGCATCTAATCCCGAAAATTTCCAACTCTGAAAATACGCTCTGAAAATCCTACTTTAAAAATACAACTCACCTGATTTATTTTAAAATGAAACATCAATTCTGTATATTCATAGAGACCCAGAGCAAAATGATTTCGGCTGGATTTCAGTTACAGTAACCATTTTTGTCATAAATATTCTGAAATGCTGACCCTCTGTTGATACTGGCTAGAAGAATTTTTGTGTGTATTTGAAATAACTTATTATTTTGGAGCTAGTACTCTCATTTGATTGGTATACCAACAACAAAAGAAGAGAAGACAGAAATATGTGTTCCAACAAAATAAACATTAAAGTCTTCTATTTTTACAATGAAGCTTTAAAAGCTTCGTGAGATAAATCTGATAAAATCAGGGAAATTAATAAAAAATTAAACAATAAATGAAGAGAAATCTTAAGAAGCATTAAAATAGGAGGCTCCTTAAAATGACATATAATCCCCATCATTTCAGATGCTTTATGTGTCTTCATCATTCCTCTGACTTCCTAATGAAACAGGTCTATTGACCTCCTAAATTAATCATCCAACACCTATTAGCCTTCATTTTGAGGACAGTTTCATCCTATTTAATCATAATCTTTGCCATACAAAGCTTATTTACTTTTTGAGCCTTTATGTTTGTGTTTTTATAGAGAAAACCTTGTCATTACTCTTCACATAACTGAAAATAGTCACTAAATTAGTGAGGTTTCTTACTTTTTTCAGATAAATAGACCTCATATTTTCAAACTCTTTTACTCTCCAACTTCTAATATAAGGTTACTTTGCATAGTACTTTTCCAAATTCCTCACACCCCACTGGTTATGCAATCCCTTCTGAGAGGGGAAAGCATCCCAGAGGCTACCTGTCAGCTGCTATTATATTTTTTGTAAATGTTACCTTCATGGTCTTGCTCAAATCCAAATGGAAATTATAGAGAAGAGTATTTAAGAAATTCTATGTATAGTAGGAAGTAGGTGCTAATAGATTTCCTTAGGCGAAAAAAAAACTGGATTTAGGAATGCTGAAACAGAGGAAATCAGATACCATCTTGAAGAATGTTCTTTTGGAAAGTTTATGAGATTATCAATTCTCTTGAAGCAATAAAAATATAACTCTTCATAGTTGCCATAATGTAATTGTTAATTGAGCTGAAATGAAAATTCTGGTTTCAACATATACTTTGGTATCACTTTAAAATAAAAATAGTATGGCTTACTAGACAATAACAAACAAAAATCATGTCTCCTTTGATGCTATTACATCTTTGGCAGAAAAGCTGAAAATAGCTGATTAATAGGTAGTTTGTAATTCTGCTGGTATACCTCAAAACTGCGGGATAAGTCAAGACAGTCTTTAAAAGAATCATGGGGTATTTATCAGAAATAACCAGTTAGTAATGTTACAAAATGCCCATTAGACACAGGCATGTGAATTAGTTTCTCTGGGAAGTTAAGAAATAGGATATAAAAAAGAAAACACGGGATATTCAATCACTATCTTCAAGGTACTAACTCTCAACTTGAAGAGCCTAGGCAACAAAAATTCCAGTGTCAGAATCATACAAACAAACAAAGCAATAAAGAATATGACCCCCAAACAATCTTAGCACATAGGTATCATTGACTTTGGCTGGGAAGGGCAGCCAGAGGAGAAATGTCAAAGAGAGTTTCTAGAGCATTTGGAGGTGCTAGACTCAGGTGAAGCTCATATGGAAAGACATATTTTGACTGAAATTGTGAAAGGCTATTTTCTTGTCCTAATAGAATCTGGAAGGTCATCTCTGAAAGTAATGAAATTCTTTCTGCACTGCAATAAGATTCTTCAATTTTTAATTCAAGGAAAATCCCAAAGCAAATGGCACATGAAATATTGGGGCTTGGGGGTGGTAGTGATAAAATTATCATCAAAATTTAAAGACCTGTCAATCTAAGCATGCACACAGACCCATTTCAAATTAAATTATATTGTTTTTAAATGACAGATGCCATTTTTATCATGCACATTCCTGCAATCTAATTTACAATAAGTCTCCAAATAGCTTAAGGCAATTATTTTAGGTAGTGCTTTATCTAGCAGTCATGTCATTTGCCTTCTTATTCTGTTTTTGTTGGATAGATGTGAAGGAGTTTTAATGTATTTCATATTTCTGCTAACAACAAAGAAAATTAAGATGCACCAAAAAAGAATGAGCCCACAGAACATCTGGTACTCTTCCCTCATTTAAAAAAATATTTAATACAGGTGTTTCCATTCCAAACATTCTATCATCTTCCATTTAATTTACAGTCAAGGTCCCCCACCAAACCATCTTCAGCCATAAGCTATGCCTTTTATCATCTCATAATGACTCTAATGTAGAGTCATTTTTTTGCCATATGACTTCAGGATCGAGTATAACATTAGAAGGGACTCCAAGAAATATCAGGGCTATTACCTTGTGTCCCAGTATAGTTGAATCAGATATGGACATGTCATTTACTGTCTTATTCATATAATTCTTCTTGAAATCAAATTTCAAAAGAATTTCTATTAATAATTAATAATAGAAGTCCAGGGCCAGAGGCAAAGAGGGAAAAAATTACAGCAAAATTCGCGACTCAAAAAGTTTTTCCTACGTCATACTTCAGGACAGAAATTAACAAAAAAAGCTTAATTCAACAAACCTTTTTTGAGAGTCTACTAAACACTGAGTGCTGTACAAGGTATGTCTCTGTTGATGTGAGCATTTTGCCATACTGAGTATTTTTTATTACAATTTACATTTGTTGGAATGCATTTAACTATTTATATGCCTTTAATTTATAATTTAACTCATGATAAAATCTGATTTATGGTACAATCAATAATGTCAACACTTTTATAATTTTTGCCATAATCTCATAGTTTAATTCCTACATAGTGATATCAATACTGACACAATTGTACCTGGGAGATAATGTTAACTCATTTGAAGAGGAATTCAAGAGAAGTCCTTCTAGAAGACTTCTTTTTTGGATAATTCAGAACTACAAAGTTTGGTGGATACAGAATCGTGATTAATCTCACACTTGGTTAAGGGCATAGAATGTTGCTTAATCAGACATAAATGCTTAAGCAGACTTATACTTTGATGCCTTCAAAGTTAAGATTAAATTAAAGATTCAATAAATATTTGAAAGACAAGTTTGCACAATTTTGATTTGTAAAAGATGAACTGGGGATGGAATCCAATGTCTAAACAACTTGACATGCATTTTGGTTTTTTGGGGGTGTGGGTAGAGGTTGGGAGGAGATCCTGCTAAAAGCTAACATTATTAATACGAGGTTTGGTATTTTACTTCCTTTTCAGTAAAACAATGCCAAGTGTCTTTGTGACATTTGTAAATGGAGAACATTCAGCTTATTCCCAATCTAATTACCTCTAGATGCTTTTAATTCCAAAAGACCCACATTATTAAGTTCAGGAAAAATTCATCCTTAGTTTAAAAAGGGAAATAAAAAAAGTTTAAATTCTTTCAATTTCTGATTGATGCACAAATTTTGGCATATTTAGAAATTTGAACCGCTTTGAAACCAGTAGGGCATATTTCAAAGACTAGTTAGATTTGATACCATTAAAGGGAGACTAATAAGCAAACCACAGGTAAATCCAAAATCCTATACAACCTTCAGCACCAGTCAACTTTCACCTCTTCCTTGTAGTCTCCCCAACACTCCTTGCCAGTGGCATTCGCTCACCTGCTCCACAGCCTTACCGGTCCTGGTCTGCACCATCCGAAACCTCTCTCTTATACTGTAGTTATATTTATCCACTACTGTGCATGCCAGTGGGGTAATTTTGTACCCCAGAGGCATTTTGCTATGTCTTGAGATATGTTTGGTTGTCTCAACTGGAGAGTGTGTGTGTTACCAGCATCTAGAAGGTGGAGACCAGGGATACCACTAAAGAGCCATAGTGCTCAGGTTAGTCCCCCACAACAAAGAAATGGTGCTCAGGTTGAGAAACCCTGATTATATCCTGCACATTGTACATCTGGTAAGCCGTTAATTTTATATTGCACGTTATAATTACATATAACTCAATCAGTCATTTTCTCAGTAGCTAAAAGAGCGAATGCCAATTCAAATGTGCCTCCTCCAGAATAAGTAAATAGTTTAGGTAAAGATTTGGCTCAACGTTTTATTTTTATTCTATTTTGGCTTAGGATGAAATGCGTACAAACTCTGTCGAATGTTTTGATAAAAACTTTCAGAGTTGGAGGTAAACTGTCTTCATAATAAGCGATTTTCCTAGGACTTCATTTATATACATGGCAGCATTTTATTTTTTACAGCATTTTATTTTTGTGCACATTTATTTTTGCCATTTTAAAGGAAATATACACAAGAATATAATGAGATGGTATGTGAATAAAGATTGCAGTATTAAAAATATATATAAAGGCCACCATGACTGCAATTTTTTATGGGTGAGAAGTGGTGAGAATAGTTTACATGCTCTCCTCCATGTTTCTAAAGACACAGAACTGAATGGAAGTAATATGGACCCACAGATCAGCACTCAATGTAGCATATCTGAGAGCAGTTTTGTCCATATTCCCAGGCTACACAGCTGCTGCCCATATTCCCCTCTGAGGTACAGTAATGTCAGACTTGAAAGAAAAACCCAATTCCTGCTCTACCCTGGTCCTTTTATATCCAGACATATATAACATTGGGGAAAAAGGTATACTTTCCGTATACCTTCTTCTTAACAAGGAATATTTACAAACACCATGATGTCCTGATTCCTGAAGCAAACTCAGCTCTAGGGAGGCCACATCCTTACTGAAGAACGAAAGCAGAGTCAAAGCCTATGAGCCCTAATCAAGATTTCTGCCTCCAGCTTTATAGCTCTTAAAAAACCAGTCTCCCTGGAGTCACCTCTTGGTGCACAAACATTTCACATTGAATGTTGCATAGGATTACACTTTATCTCAACAGGCAGTCTTCTTACTGTAGTATTAACATTCTAATTGCCTCGAAAAGAATATAACCTCAAGAAAATATTCAACCTTTTAAAAAGATAAAAGGAAAAGGCAAAATCGGGTTCCACAAACTTTAGTTCTGTCTTTTGGTGTGTGCGAATATGTTAAGCTTGTGTTATTCTCACTCATATTGATTCTGTTTGTTCTTGTTTGTTTTAATAAGAAAGCAAATAAAATTGCAGTGTGGTTCCAAAGAGCAATCAGAAAGCACAGCACTCCCCATACAACAGGACAAGGAACAGAAGAGAAGGCTTGAATGGCTCCTGGAGACCTCAGCGACCTTCTCCAAACTGAACAGTGTGTGAAATGTGATTTTGCTCTCTTCATAATGATTATCAAATTCCTGTTGGCTAATACAACATTTGGCATTAAATATCCTCTACTAGTCATAAATATGACTCACTTAAAATCATTACAGGATGGCATTATTCACATATGGTTAACATAGCTAAATTCATTTGCAGTTTACCAACTGTTCTACAGAACATTTTTGCATCCTGTAGAATTGATCTAACCCAAGGCATATTCAACATGATATATAGAGCCTTTCTTTTCTTTTATGCCAAGGGAAGATCTTAGCCTGGCTTTAAAGTTATAATGAATGCTCCTGGGTACATTTTGTTTTTTTTCCTTCATGTCAGAAAGATGGTATTTTATTTATCACTTGGTAGTACATGTTAGATCATCATACTGTCAAGATGCCTCTGTAAAGTCAATCCCAGATTTATTGCTTGTTCTCATTTCACTGAAGCACCTAAAACACTCAGGGTGAAACTTTGCCACGATTAAAGAAGCAAAGATTGTATCATCTTATTTATTAGGAAAGAAGAGGCAGCAGTTCTGTGTCTGTGGCGTCTACCATTCCTAGGTTCTTCTTATTAAGCAAATCTGCTGGCATTTAATGCTATAGCCTCAGTTTAAGTTGACATAAATACTAAACATTTTTATGTGGATAAAATCAAAGAAGAGGGGGATCTGTATACAGTGATATTTTTGTCATCACCCATGAAACAAAAAAGAATACTTCAGTCTCACCCAAATTTTAGAAAAGTGGCCTTAAATAACTGACATCACATTAAGCATGTGATCATTTGGCATTTAGAGTTTGACTTTCTAATTCTTCCCATTATCTTTCCTAACTTATTTTTCTCTATAGCATTTTGCATTTTCCCACACACTACATAGTTTAGTTATTTATTTTGTGCTGTCTTCCCTCCCATACAAGAAGGGAAGCTCCAAGAAAGCAGGGATTTTGACCAGTTTTGTTCCCTGCAGGAGCGCAGACACCTAGAGCAACGGCTAGCATGTGGCAGACAGTTGTGCCTATTTGTTCGATGAATGAATATGACATCTTTTACCCTTTCTCCAATTACTTTTTTAGAGATTCAAGTAATTTTGCTATAAATCCTTTTCCAGAAGAAATAAATTTTTAAAATGAATTTATCCTAAGTGTGGAAGAGAAGACTCTGAAAAAGTATCCTATCATAATTTACCTTACATCCCTCTCAGCAATGGTCGGATCAGTTTTACATTTATTTAAAAACATGGTCATTTACTTTTAAAGATCAGAAATTACTAACTGAGATCATTCCTATCTCTTTCTCAGTGGTGAAAGGGGCTGCTTCCAGTGTTCGTGGTACATCTCTAAAAGTTCATAAAAGTGAAAGAAAGCAGGTTAACCCTGAGGGCCTAAACAGCTCTGGGAGGTCACTGTTACCAGCCCTTTTCAAGTGAAATGGCTGAGGCTCACAGATTTCCACTAATTGCCAGGTAAGGGAGCCAGGACTGGGAGTGGGATTAGGTGTATCAGCTGTGAAGGCGATGCCCTTTCCGATCCACAGTCAGACACATTATCCATGGTATAACCTGCCTTCACCCGAGGCTGTGCCCTTTCTAAGAGCAGCAGTCCCAGTCCAGCATACAGTTCCTCTTTCTCTTGGGTATTTAAGGTTTTCAGAAAGGCAGATGGCCTCCCTTGAGTTTCTTTGCATAACTGACATTTTTAACGAATTAGTGACAGAACAAAAAAAAAAAAAACTCGACTCACTCTCAGCTGGATAACTTCACAAATGCCAAGCTGAAAAGAATGATATCTCATAAATTCAGGCAAATGGGTATTAAGGGGACTAAGCTGGCCGTTCTTTTAATATACTGAGTATTAGCATTTTCCAGGCCTTCAGGTTGGTAATGTAGTTTCAGCTCAGGAGACTATACCTTTCATTAAAACTCTTTTATTCTTTCAGCTTTGTTATAATGAAAAAATCTTAAGCCGTCACACATGTAGTGATTATAGAAGGTTCTCAACTCTGGCGGGAAAAAGGCTCAGAACAGGCATGCACAATTTTCAAAGACCACATAACTGCTTCAGAAAAAAAATCACAGCTGTCACCAACATTTTACATCCCAAAACAAGTTTAATTGTTCAGACTGGTGTTTTAGAAAGCTCCAGATATTGAAAGACTCCTCGATTTTTGTATAGTTAGAGGCTCAAAGAACTGTAGACTAGAAGGTTTTATTTATTGATGAGAGAGAGGACATTTTCAATACCAAAATATTGTCATTTTTATTTGTCTGAGTTGAGGCTGAGACTAAAAAGTGCACCAAAAGGAGAAAATTTACTGTATGCAAATTAAAAACTAAAATAATTGCCTGTCATGAAAAGAAAAGTGAAGCACAGGAGCCTGCGGGAGGCCATGTTTGACTTCCTCATCTTTAGAACACTCTTAATGCCCATCATTTCACCTTTCACACAGTAAACAGTAAGTGTCTGCTGCATAAATAAGAATAAGAAGTAAAACTGAACAGACTTTTCTCCAAAGAAGATATACTAATGTCCAGCAAAGACATGAAAAAATGCTCACTGACCAGGGAAATGCAGAGCAAAACATCACCGACCAGGGAAATGCAGATCAAAACCACAAGGAAGTACCCAGTGAGGATGGCTACTATCAAAAAGACAAAAAAACAACAAATGCTGGCAAGGACATGGATTAAAAAGAACTCTTTTACACTGTTTGTGGGAATGTTAACTAGTACGGCCACTATGGAGGATAGTATGGAGGGCCCTCAAAAAACAACAAATAGAGC